TGAATATATGTATATATATATGTATATAAGAAATTCAATTTGGAAAGAAACCATATATTATGTGGTGATGTTATTTAGAGATACAGTCAAAAGTTTTTTAAAAAAAAGTATAAATAAGCTCGACAAATTTTGTGACACATGGGGACTCAATATGAATGTAAATAAACTAAAATAATAGTATTTAAGGAAATTTCAAAAATGATATCAGAATGTTGAAATGGAAGTTGATACATCATACACATATCTAGGAGTTGTGTTTAAATTAATACGGTCAATGGAATAATACAATAGAACGCAACTGCCAAAAAGGCAATAATGAGTGCGAAATCCAGAGAAACATACAAATTGGAATAAGCGCTACCGGTACTCTATTTTAATAACACTTCTTCAAAACAAACATAACACAATATCCGAGTTTAATGCTAACAGACAAACTAGCATAATGAGCTATGAAAACATAAGTATAAAAATTAAGCGTAAAGTCAAGTGATTTGCGAAATATAGAAATATAATAGAGACCGAACCTATCGTTTTGACACTCACGAAAAATAATCAAGTGAATGAGTGTCTTTCGCAAATCTAGATACTTGTATAAAAATGATATTTCTACACAAGCCCGGAAATACCAATCACCTGATATCATTATACGTTCATCAAAAATAAAATGTTTGTTTCAGTCTAATCTTGCTAATTTTCAAGCCTTAACAATAAGGACTATTAGTACGGCAAGTTGTTGCCTAGATAAGAAAGCAGTACTACACCCTGCCAGCCATCGTACGTTTCCGGATTATATTTCGTTGAAACCAATGTTTTAACTATGAATCACTAACTACTATACTACTATAGTATTAACATCAAAATCGTTAATCTAGATTACCAGCGTTCCTAAATGGTAGTCGTCGTATTTACAGTGTAAAATAATATAGTAAAATATATACATTTTGTTCTACTGCGGCTACATATTATATTCTCTTAAATCATCAATAAATCAGAACTTAAATTATCTACCAATAAATATATGGGATAAACGCTTTGATGTAAAAATAATATTACCAATTTCAACATGTTTCAATAAACAATTCTTAATTACATGTAAATTAATTAATTCTAGGAAATTACACCTACTCATCAATATACGGGTGTGAAATTCGGAGTTTTAATCGTAGAATACTGTTTTTGGTTTAGGAGTTATTAAATTAGAGGTCGAGAATGGTAGATGGAATAAGATTCCACTCCAGTGTCGTTTGTATTAGCTCTGTAACTTAAATTCGATCGAATATGAATTCAATTTTACATTGATTTGTCCTTTCTTTTATCAGATCAGAAATCGATTTAATCCAACATTTTATTATACTCTTCCTTGCATTTACAAATTTTATTTATCATTATGTAACATAAATTAAACACAAAAAGTACAAGTTTTGTTTAATTTGCTGATGTTAACGGCTAATATATCGACAAATAAACACGGTTTTTTAAATGCTTCAATTAATTCATTTTACAGTTTTCTCAAGACATTGTATAGTAACTTAAATAATATTTTACTCTTGCTCAACGCTAAGTTTTCAACTTACATTTCTGTAAAAAAAATGTAAAAATATAGTAAAAAAGATTTATTACATTTTGAGCATTGTATTTTTATGAAGCTGGGTGGTTGAGGTTCTCATGCTAACGCAATAGTGATTAGGTTTGGTTTTGAGTTCCTTTCCAACAACTCGGTGGATTGTTTACCGTCTTATTTTGACAATAAAAAATAAAAAGAATAAATAATAAAAAGAGAATTGATTATTTGACAACACTGGATCTTTATTGTATTATTATATAATCGCCAGTGGCCTATATATTGATGATGAATAAAACCCCAGTTAGGGTAAATAAATTGAAACGTAAAATTTTATGGTACATTATTATTACTTTATTATTACTATTCTATAAATGTTGGACGCCGTATCCGAGGTTACACATAAAATTACATTTCAAATATTCATTTAAATATAGCGATCTTTGTTTCAATAAACAATTAATTACATGCAATCATCTAAATTAGTTAATTCTAAAAAAAAATACACCTATTCACCTCGTACCGAATCAAGTATTTAATTTGTGTTTTATTTATTTATTTTTTTTTTGCATCGAATAATTTTAGAGAGTGAAAGTGAATGTGTTGACTTCATTCATTGGGTCGTTTGTCGTTCGTTTGAATTCGTTCGTTTGTCCATCTGTTCGTACTTTTGAATTGATTTATTGTATGCCTTCCTAAGGCTTCCTTCGTCCATCATTGATCTTCCTTCCATCAAGCCATCCATTTATATATCCATCTTGCATGCCATCATGCATGCATCCATCTATCCATGTATCTCATCCCGTTATCTCATCCATACACACACCATCAGTTAATTTTTTTTTTAATTTATTTATTCAAATGAATGAATAACTAAACCTTTGTCAGCAAACATCTTCAACTCCTTAGATACACTTATATATTATAAAAATATGATGCTAAGACCTTTGTGTATATATATAAATTACTGTATGACTCTGTCACAGGAGTAGGGACGCTGGCGTAGTGCATCCAAAACGTGGTCCGAATTTTGGTTTGGGTCCGATGTGAATGCAGCCTTATTTAATGAAGATTACTCTTGGCCTAGTTTATCATTGTTTCTAAACTCTGTTTTGCAACGGTCTACTTCTAGAGTTAAAATTTAAATTTTGCCTGTTTGTCGAATCTGTTTTACAGCAAAATGTTGATTTGATGGCCGATCGAAAACTACTGGACATGAGTGCATAAATAAATGGATTAACGCAGCTATTAGATATTCTAAGTAGATTAACAAAAAAGAAGCAGGGTATCGCGAAACCATAGTATTTATTGTTTATAATCCAAAAACGAAAAATTGCACTCGGTGAAGTCATGCACAGAAAGACAACAGCCACGATGATCACCGTTTTTAGAGCCTGAAGAAAAGACGAAAATTTTCAGTGCCAACCATTAGTGGTTGTGGTTTAATAATAATAA